AATAACTTTGCTTAGTAATTATATTTGAATTATTATTTAATGTAAAGAGATTGAAGAAAAAGAACACAAAGTAATTAATTTCTATTTATTAAGCCTTTTGTGAAATCATTTGGGTGTCTTAATTCAATTTCTCCATAGCCCAAGAACTCTATCCATTACTATTATGCCATTACTCGAGTATCTATCGTCCCTTTTTAATTTTTTACTTTTCCAAAGTTATTACCCGTATAAAGATTTTAGCACTTTCACGTTTAATAATGTATTATACACGTACGCACATATTTTTCATGTTTAATACACGTATTTTTAACAAAAAATTTAGTAAGACACACAAAATTCACATATTATACACGTATTATTGAATAAAAATAATATATACCTTTAAAAAATGGTATAGCCGCACGGCTGTACTCAGTTTCCCTAATTGTTCTTCAAAGGGATAGCATAGCCGTGAGGCTATACACGTTTTTGCATAAAATATAGTATAGCCGTCCGGCTTTACCTCTTCGACACGTGGGCTTAGGCCACGGGCTGTTCTTTATATATATATCGCCGGCCAACTATACGGTTTTTTTAATTTAAAAAAATAGTATAGGCGCCCGGCTGTACTCGTTTTTCCTTATTTTTTTTAAAAATAGCCTTTACTCTTTTGACACGTGGAACCTAGGGCTGGGAGCGTCCTTTTTTTAAGATATACATAGTATAGCCGCGCGGTGATACTCTATTTTTTACTTTCAAAATTAAAAATATGTAAAATATGTTTCCTTACTTTTGTTTTTTGGCCTACTTCTTTATTTACTATATAAAATCAAGTAATATCTTAGCCTTTTTTAATCACTTTGCTTAGTAATTATATTTTAATTATTATTTAATGCAAAGAGATTGAAGAAAAAGAACACAAATTAATTAATTTCTATTTATTAAGTCTTTTGTGAAATCGTTTGGGTGTCTTAATTCAATTTCTCCATAGCCCAAGAGTCTTACCCATTATTATACATGTATTACGGAATAAAAATAATATATGCCTTTTGAAAAAAGGGTATAGCCGCACGGCTGTACGCAGATTTCCCCAATTGTTTTCCAAATAGATAGTCTAGCCGTGCGGCTATACTAAGTATATCTTAAAAAATGACGTTCTCAGCCTAGGTGCCACGTGTCAAAAGAGTAAAGGCTATTTTTTTTTAAATATAAAAAAAGACGAGTGCAGCCGAGCGGATATACTATTTTTTAAATTTTAAAAAACGTATAGCCGGCCGGCTATACGTTTTTTAAAATTTAAAAAATAGTATATCCGCTCGGCTGCACTCGTCTTTTTTTATATTTAAAAAAAAATAGCCTTTACTCTTTTGACACGTGGCACCTAGGCTGAGAACGTCATTTTTTAAGATATACTTAGTATAGCCGCACGGCTATACTATTTTTTAACTTTCAATATGAAAAAAATATAAAATAGGTTTCTTTACTTTTGTTTTTTGGCCTACTTCTTTAATTTACTATACGTAATCAAGTGATATCTTAGCCTTTTTTAATCACTTTGCTTAGTAATTATATTGTAATTATTATTTAATGTAAAGAGATTGAGGAAAAAGAACACAAATTAATTAATTTCTATTTATTAAGTTTTGTGAAATCGTTTGGGTGTCTTAATTCAATTTCTCCATAGCCCAAGAGCCCTACCCATTATTATTCATGTATTACGGAATAAAAATAATATATGCCTTTTGAAAAAAGGGTATAGCCGCACGGCTGTACGCAGATTTCCCCAATTGTTTTCCAAATAGATAGTCTAGCCGTGCGGCTATACACGTTTTTGCATAAAAAATAGTATAGCCGGCCGGCGTTACCTCTTTGACACGTGGGCTTAGGCCATGGGCTGGTCTTTCTATATATATATTAGTATAGCCGTCCGGCTATACGTTTTTTAAAATTTAAAAAATAGTATATCCGCTCGGCTGCACTCGTCTTTTTTTATATTTAAAAAAAAATAGCCTTTACTCTTTTGACACGTGGCACCTAGGCTGAGAACGTCATTTTTTAAGATATACTTAGTATAGCCGCACGGCTATACTATTTTTTAACTTTCAATATGAAAAAAATATAAAATAGGTTTCTTTACTTTTGTTTTTTGGCCTACTTCTTTATTTACTATATAAAATCAAGTAATATCTTAGCCTTTTTTAATCACTTTGCTTAGTAATTATATTTTAATTATTATTTAATGCAAAGAGATTGAAGAAAAAGAACACAAATTAATTAATTTCTATTTATTAAGTCTTTTGTGAAATCGTTTGGGTGTCTTAATTCAATTTCTCCATAGCCCAAGAGTCTTACCCATTATTATACATGTATTACGGAATTATAATGGTGTATTTGTAGTTTGATGTGAGGAGATGTTTGATTAAAACTGCAGATTGGGTTCTACTTCCTTCTCATGCAGGTTATTTCTCTGCTTCAAAGTTCCTTGATTTTCTGCTTCCACTGAAAACTTGTGTTTCCAGATTGAAGAACACATAAGTACTCTAAACCTAGTTAATGAATTTGAAGCTAAATCAAGTGATTATAATTTGGGTGGAAAGTGACCATTATGGACCCCAAATTGCCTACATTTTTACCCTTTTTGAATCAATTTTACAAGTAATTGGGTTTTGATTGAGAGATGTATTAAGCTAATGCAGCCCTAATTTACCAAGTTCTGATTGATAGATGATGGGCCTATAATTTTATCTTAACAGCATAAGATTTTTCAACGACTTTGTAACCTGGAAAACCAGAGACTATTAATGCTAATAAGAGTTAAAAACAGAGGAAGCATCAACTTAACTCTTTGTTTAAGTCTGACGATTTGCTTGAACTAATATGTTTTGATTTGTGGAGCCTACCTGAATTATCTCTTAGGACTCTTAAATGGATCATAAACTTACAGTTGGGGTCAAGGGGAAGATACTCAAAAGTCAAAAGTGATGCTTAAATACATCCCCATTCTCTCTCTGAAATATGAAGTCTTGAAATTTCAATTCAACTGTCTGATTTACCAAGTTCTGATTCATAGACGGTACTAAAGTGTAGAATTTTCAGTTTACTGACTTTTATCTTTCTGAGATTACTTTTCATTTTAGGTTTTGGTTGTTTGATGATTTAGTCCAACACTAATAGAATGAAATATCTTACAGCTAATGCAAGCTCATGGAAGGAGAATTATAGATAAAATAACTATTTTTTGCAAGTTTGTAAGGAGATGAAATTCACTTACAGGAATAACTTTATTTATAAGCCTACTCTACTTCTGTTATGTTTAACCTTCAATGATTGTATCTCCATGGCGTCTCATGTTAACTCTCAAAACTATTATATTGGGATATGGTACAAAAAACTACCCCCGAAAACAGTAGTTTGGGTGGCAAACAGAAACCAACCTGTTTCTGATACATCGTCTTCAACATTGCAACTCTTCCAAAATGGAAACTTAACCCTACTGGTCCAATCCAAAACTGAAATTTGGTCAACTCATTCTATGTCAACGGTTTCTCATTCCACCGTAGCAATGCTACTTGACAATGGGAACTTTGTCATAACATATGCATTTAATTCATCTGTTGTTATATGGCAGAGTTTTGATCACCCAACTAATACTTGGCTTCCAGGAGGGAAGCTCGGACATAATAGGCTTACGAAAGAAAAACTAAGTCTTACTCCATGGAGAAACCCACAAAATCCAGCACCTGGCCTCTTTCCTATCTGGGCAGTATCTTGTATGTGATGGAGAATTTTATTTTCCCCTTCATTTCTCCATTCCTTTCCCCATCCAATCTAGATCTTATGAAAGGGAGTGGTGACATGAGCTTGTATCTTGATGTGCTTTCATCTATTTCAAATGGGATATATAAATATATCATTGTTCTTTGTAGTTTGCATCTTCAAGGTGAAGTATTTGGAATGGGGTATAGATTACAAGCTGCAGCAGCAGCAATCCAGCCCAAACAGTGATTTCTTCTCTAGATTCCCCCAAAATTCGAACCTCACCTCACCTCAGATTTTGATAAGCCTTAGCCTTCTTCTCCAAATTTCCCTTTCTCACCCAAATACCCCATTTCCCCTTTTTTGAAGCTGAAAAAACCCTTATGCTCCAATGTTAAGGATTAAAACGAAGTGGGGCCCAAAGCAAGTAACGGAACATCTATAATGTTGACGGAATGGGTAACGTGAGACCAATTTTAAAAGTGTGGAGGGTATTTTGAGACATTTCAGAGCCTAGGTGATAATTTGAGACAAGTTTGAAAGCATAGGGGGCATGTACATAAATAAGCATAGGGAGCGTCCCTTTTTTAAGATATAAATAGTATAGCCGCACGGCTATACTATTTATTTTGCATAAAAATATTTATAAAATATAAAATATGTTTCTTTACTTTTATTTTTTGGCCCAGTTCTTTAATTTACTATACGTAATCAAGTAATATCTTAGCAATTCTTAATCACTTTGCCTAGTAATTATATTTTAATTATTATTTAGTGTAAAAAGATTGAAGAAAAAGAACACAAAGTAATTAATTT